TCACTATATCTGGTGTTGCCAACTGGTCATCATATCTGGTATTGTCAAGTGCTCATCATATCTGGTGTTGCAACTGGTCATCATATCTGGTGTTAACTGGTCATCATATCTGGTGTTGTCAACTGGTCATCATATCTGGTGTTGTCAACTGGTCATCATGTCTGGTGTTGTCAACTGGTCATCATATCTGGTATTGTCAACTGGTCATCATATCTGGTCAAGGTCCTCAAGCCGAATATGGCAGTTATGTGTGAGACCATTTTGTCGAACAGGTGCATATTATGAATTTTGTTTTTTGTTCAATTCAGTTCAAAACTAAGATCAATGCAAAGGGTGAGCTCATCGTTACCTCAGACAGCACTCGTGCACAAATAAGGAATCTACGTGACTGCATGCAGAAAATACGTGATATAATAGAAGAAGCTAACAAGAAACCCAAACCATTGTCAGATAAAGATAGGGCCACAATAAGAATGAGGTATGATATATTGATACAGTTCACTCATCATGGTAGCTTCTCTCAGGACATTTACAAATTTACAAGGATTATAAGATAAGGATATGCAACTTTGATATCTATGTACAGTGATGTATGATATCAAGACTTGCCTAGACCAGTTACATTCAAACTTTACATATGCACATCAATTTGTTTCCTGATCTGATTCAAGATGGTCGAATAGTGGCCATTTCTGTGCTAAAAAATTATCAAAAATAAGGCATTTCTGGCATTCCGGAACCAGAACCGACTCTTGGTCGTTAACGGGTCGATTGTTAGAAATTATGGGTCCCTGATGCATGTCATTTTGTTTTTCAGATCAGATTCAAAATGGCTGACTGGAAGCCATTTTGTTTTAATGAATGCCATATCTCTGACATGCTTTGACTGATTATGTTCAATTTTTATGTATTCATTATACTTCATATCATGTCATAGATATACAGATGTATTGGTTTGACAATACGTTTCAAAATGGCCATCCGGTGGCCATTTTGTTTTGTTTAATGCTATTCCAGAGCAATATCTCTCAACATGTTTTTACTCTTGTTTGTATCGAATTGTGTAGGGGGGGGGGATATTACAAAAAATAGCTTACATGTAGATAATACTAAGGTTTCAATTTGCTGATGTCCGTTTATTATGTTTTTGCTATAGGCAGAGTATGTTTGTATGGAGGTGCAACAAAGACAATGACAGGCAACATTATTCATATATTAAACTGCTTATTGTATTTATTAATTTCAGGGCAGAAAGATATCACCGAGAAAGACTTCGTCTGAAGAAAATCCACTCTGTAAAAAAAGATGACAGACATGTGTATTTAGACTAAGTTATTTCAATTTGAATTCATATTTGATATTAAACAAGTAAAAATAAATTAACAATTTTTCATTATTAAAATGTTTCACTATTGATTTTATTATTATCTTACAATAAACGATTTGAGAAAATCTCTCAAAAATAAGATTTAGAAATTTTACAAGATCAAATCTGTGACCAAATCATTTTTTAGCATGGCCTAATTTTTTTTAAAAGCCATATTTTATTGTTCTTTTTTCTTTATTTATTTGTTGGTGTTTTATTGATGCCACTTGATGCTAATAAATATAGCAATTAATAAACAATTATAATTGGAGAAAAAGTAAATAAATTAAATTGAAAAAATGATCATCCACAATGTCTATTTTCACAAATGAAAAATAACAATACTTGGTAATGAGAAACGTTTACTCACAATAAGAAGACTTGGTAATGATAAATGTTCACTCACAATAAAATACTTGGTAATGAGAAATGTTTACTCACAGTAACAATACTTGGTAGTGAGAAATGTTTACACAATAACAAGACTTGGTAATGATAAATGTTCACTAACAATAACAATACTTGGTAATGAGTGATGTTCACTCACAATGACAAGACTTGGTAATGAGAAATATTCACTCACAATGACAAGACTTGGTAATGAGAAATTTTTACTCACAATAACAATACTTGGTAATGAGAAATGTTCACTCACAATGACAATTTTTGGTAATGAGAAATGTTTACTTACAATAACAATACTTGGTAATGAGAAATGTTTACTCACAATGACAATACTTGGTAATGAGAAATGTTTACTCACAGTGACAATACTTGGTAATGAGAAATATTTACTCACAATGACGATACTTGGTAATGAAAAATGTTTACTCACAATGACAATACTTGGTAATGAGAAATGTTTACTCACAATGACAATACTTGGTAATGAAAAATGTTTACTCACAATGACAATACTTGGTATTGAAAAATGTTTACTCACAATGACAATACTTGGTATTGAAAAATGTTTACTCACAATGACAATACTTGGTAATGAGAAATGTTTACTCACAATGACAATACTTGGTAATGAGAAATGTTTACTCACAATGACAATATTTGGTAATGAGAAATGTTTACTCACAATAACAATAATTGTTAATGAGAAATATTTACTCACAATAACAATACTTAGTAATGAGAAATGTTTACACACAATAACAATACTTGGTAATGAGAAATGTTTACTCACAATGACAATACTTGGTAATGAGAAATGTTTACTCACAATAACAATACTTGGTAATGAGAAATGTTTACACAAAATAACAATACTTGGTAATGAGAAATGTTTACTCACAATAACAATTCTTGGTAATACGAAATGTTTACACACAATAACAATACTTGGTAATGAGAAATATTCACTCACAATAACAATACATGTACTTGGTAATGAGAAATGTTTACTCACAATGACAATACTTGGTAATGAGAAATGTTTACGCACAATGTTAACTCTCGCCAATGAGATTATTTTCACAATGTAAATATTCGCTGATGAGAAATGTTTACACACAACATTCACACTGATAAGAAATTTACCCACATCAATTCTCTAATGGGAAATGTTTAATAAATTCGTAGTATGACATTAGTTTCGTGATATATAGACTTGCATAAAAACATTTTATTTAAAGTTTTTAAAAAAAAAAAAAATATTGGAGTGTATAAATGGCAAAAGCCGGGTTAACATGAAAATAAAAGACTTACTGAGCATTTCAATGACACCAAAAGATTTGATGGGCAGAGCATGCATACATATACGTTTACATTGTTTCAAGATGAATGAATGAATAGTGGACAAGTGATCACTAGCATGTCGCCAAAAACAGAGCTTCACAACTGTTGTACCACCTTTCCAGAAGCAAGAAAGATGTGCCAAGAAGATGAAACAAAGTTTTTCAAAAGACTGATTACACAGAATGAAACTTGGGTCCATCACTATGATCCAGAGACCAAAGCCCAGTCAATGTGGTGGAAGCACTTTGACTCACCACCTCCAAAGAAGGCAAGGGTGCAGCCCTCCGCTTGCAAGGTCATGCTCACAGTCTTCTGGGACCAGGACGGAGTAGTGATTTCCAGGCAAAGGGTACCACAATTACACGAGCATATTATGCTTCACTTTTGATGAAACTAAGAGAAGCTATCAAAATCAAGAGGCGGGGCAAGATCAGCAAAGTTATCCTCCAGCAGGACAATGCTCAGGTCTACAACTCGCATGTCCCCAGAACAGAAGCATGGGCGTGTGGCTATGAAATCCTCCCCATCCCCCTTACTCTCCTGACCTTGCACCCTCTGACTTTCATCTCTTCCCAGCCATGGAATTGTTTTTGAAAGAAAAGTGTTTCCCAGATGATGCAGCCTTGATTTTTGAAGTTACGACGTGGTTGGTGGACCAAACTGGGGTGTTCTACAAAAACGGTGTTCAGAGCTGCATCAAACGATGGGAGAAATGCATAACATGTAGAGAAAGACTAATAACTGTGTCAAGTTTCATTAATCTCCTACTATTGGAAATGGGTCAGGGGCATTACTTATTGAACGTCCCTTGTATCTTTAGTGCAATGCCATAAAAAAATGCATGTATGCAAAATTTCAGTTTCTGTGCAATTTCTGTCAAGACAAATCTAATTCCAAATTTGCTGAGTTAACACTGATTAGTGGAATATTAATGAAGCTGTCAATCATTGCATCATGCAACTGGTGTTGCAAGAGGGTGCTGCAAGGGTCACAAGTCTCTTCTTTATTTTGCCGTAACTGCTTTCACCATTTACACACTCCCATATTATTTAATTTTGTTGAATAAAACACCAAAGTTTACATTATATACAATGGGAAGTTAAATAAATTGATTAGTCCTAATTATTATTTGTTCATAGTTGTACAAAAGTGGTATCATGGGCACCATTTTACTTAGGTCGTGAACATTAACTGGCACAACGTAATGTAAACTGTCTTATAAAGTCTGTATTTATAACTATTAACAATAACAATAAAAATCAGTGCAGATCTGTGAAAGTCACACTGTGCAATGAACATGGAACTGCTGTAATTGATAACCCAGATATAGTCTTTTGACTACACTTTTTCCAGTAATATCCTTTTTGAGCTGCACATCCCACACTGTTACCCTGTTTTATCATCTGATGTTAGTGCACCTTGGAAATCTCTGATGCTGAAGGAATTAATTGAAGACCTCTGGCCAAAAAACGGTCTTGTACATTGTGCTGGGGTCCTAGAATAAATACATATACAGCCAATGCATCCTCTCATCTTGGATAACTGTAACATCATTATGGTCATAGAGTGCTCAAGGAAAATTTCAGGCATGTATTTCCAGATGTCCTGAACTATGGTCACTTCCTGGGACTGGACACTGTGAATAGGATTGCTGGCATTTTTACTGACTGGATGAAATTCTTGTATATTCTTCTCTGCCATCTCCATGGACTGGGCAATCTGACAAGCTCTGTCAAATGTAAGGTCAACAGTGTTCAACAGCTTATTCTGGATTTTGGAATTATTTAATCCGCACACAAACCGGTCTCTCAATGCTCGATCAGGAATTGTCTGTTAATGCAGTGAATGGACAGTTTTTTCAATGACACAAAATAGTCACCGATCGATTCGCCTGTTTTCTGATTTTGAGTTCTAAAATGAAAACTCTCAGCAATTTCTAATGGTGCTGGATAATAATGTCACTCTAGTGTTTGTACGATGACTTGTAATTGGATGTCTTTGGTGTCGCTGGCACTAACAAATTTAATACTCAGTGTGGAATATACTTCAGGTCCGATCTCCGAAAATTGCGCGTTTCCTTTGTCTAACAACAAGATTCGCTGCTTCCTTATTCTTACCTGGTATTTCTACAATGTTATTTGCCGTGAAGAACATCTCCATTCGTTCCACATAGGAATTTAATGTTTCTCGTTTGGCATTAAACTCGCCCATTCAACCGATGAATACTCCAAATTCTGTCATCTGGCGCACACTGGAAGTTTTGGATTTACGAATGCAATCCTTCTTAACTTGGGGAAAATTCACACTTTTTTCCCCTAGAAAACTTCAACACTTGTTTAGCATTCATCCACATACATCCTGAGATTGGACACTATAAATCAAATAGTTAGCCATTACCAGCTTTTTTGCCAGCGGTTACCATCAGTGATGTGAGGTATAAAAGTAGAGTTTCCCCGATAATGGCATATGTGAAGAGTGGCTGTTAAAGATGTCACAAGTTGATTTATAAGTAAGGTTTAAGCCTTTTTATCGTTATGCCAGGACATTTCCATGTGCTACTCAGGTTCTTGCATATTCCTTTCACCACTGCAGTGTCCAAAATGTATACACAGTTGCAGGGTTAGTTCCAATATGCTTGTGTTATGGGCATGTTTGGAATGACTTGATGAGAAAGCAGTCGAAATACCTGTACCATTTAAGACCAGTCTAATATCTAAATCTCCATAAATTTGAAATGTGAGACAAACTTTACGCTGATGGTTGTCTCCTTTATTCTGTTATCAGAAATGATGAAGACTATGGGTCAAAGAAATCTGACCTAGTTATTTTTGCAACACGCCAAGCTAGATTCCATCAAGGACCCCTATAAAATAAATAAGAAACTTGAATAAGTGAAGTTCCGAACAATGGAGTTTGCCATTTTTACAATTACTTAGTATTTTTAAATTGGTTAAGTTTACATGATCGTGGGAAAGTAAACTGACTCACCATGTGTTTCACAGAAATGTAGCCCACACAGGTGAACATTTTTGGCCCACTTGATTTAGTCACTCATACAAACTGGACCTGTTACCTTTACAAATAGAACAGCACGAGAGTTCACGAAACTTCTAGTGTACATTGTTTTACAAGTAATCTTACTAATCAAATTGTAACAGGTGCACAGGTAGCACTTGCCACACCAACAAACACTATTTTAAATTCACATTGTTTATAACTTACCATAATTATTATGTATGATGCATTTGTCCTGATTATGTTTTCATAACTTACTTGTGGAGGTAGCTATT